ATCAATGAATATTAGTTCATTGGATCCGTCAAGTCGCAAGGAATCAAATGGTAGTTGTTTCATACGAATCAGCGCGATATTGACCGAGATCGTATATCTTTTGTTTTTTTTTGTTTTTTCTATATATAAAAAATCATGTGATATGACGTCATTTCAACTATTTCACGACTTTAGCCTCCAATGGTCAAAATGATTTCGACCTATTGACACTCATTCACCTAGGTTTAACGCTAATCTACACTGGTTTGTAATATAGCAAAGGGGATTAATAGTGGAATTAGACATGTTGTAAGATGTATCATTCTGTTGAATGGTATGCATCCAAATATATTACCACTTTTGCGTGTCTAGTAAAAGTATTAAAAAAAAATGATTTCAAACATTTCGACTATTTCGGATATCCAAAATGATCCATTTCGACTTCATGTATAGCTACTATCACTCCAAATAGGTAACGTCTGGAGATACCAAAGTAGATATAATGCTGAATTTGCATGTAATCTTTAACGACAGAGGATCTGCAGAAAGGCAGAAGCCAATCAAAAGAGATTGTATTATTTAGAAAGGGAAAGGAATTATCACGTGAGATTTGTTTATCCAAAGTATGTCGATCATGATTGTCGGTTTGAATATCCCTTGATGTCCACTTTTTGTAAACAAAAAAGAAAAAGAGAAAAAAAAGGGAAAATTTTTTTCGAAAAAAGGTAAAGAAAAAATATTTTAACAAAAAACCATATGATTTAGACTATTTCGAAAATTTTTATGTGTAGAGGAGTATAGGGAACAAAGAGAGGAATATTTTTGAAAGGTGGGGTTTTTTGTTTTGTTCGCAGGCTAAGCTGTGGCTACCCTTGAACAGATACTTTTTTAAAGTAAAAATTCTTGGAAAAAATCCAACGAGGAGATAGAGTTTTTTTCTGCTACCTTCCATACACACTTTAAGAGTAGCTGTTAAAGTACTGGTTGATGTACTATTTCCAACCCATTTATCTACGTTAATAAAATTATCAAGATACATAGTGAATGCTGCTTCTAATAATGTCCCAATGTATTGTACGGTTACTAATGCTTCTTTATTCTGGGCACAAGTGACATTTTCTGCATCACATCCCCAACTAGCAACCAACTGTTCCATAACATTATTGGAAATCAAATCAATCTCTTCAAAAGGAAGTTGAAATTTCTTTTTCATGATTTCAAGTAGATCATCTATAAGTTCTTTTAAATCTGTTAATTCATCCTTTCGCAACAAAATTTCAGCCAAATGTTCATCACGAGGGTTATTTCCAGGAAATTCGCTTATCACACGAGGAAAGAGCCCTTGTTTTAAAGTTACGGGACAATCCAATCATATTGAACCTTTAGGTAAATTGCATAATTCCCATGAAATAGCTTTGTTTTCTTTACGTACATACCTTTTGATAAATATCTCAGTATTATTTGATTTGCAAGGGGGATTTAGATTAGCTTTACATTGAGCAGTTAAATATTGCATATTAACATTATTATATTCACTTTCTACCCTCCACTTGATATTGCCATTCGTATCTTTAAGGTTGGAATTTGCTAATACATTCTTTAATGAAAGAGTTACTGGTAGGAATGCTACATCCTTTCTATCTCCTTTGGTCTTATCGACCCATTTAGCCAATGAAGTAAATTAAATCATGTTCATGGTTCCGATAAAATTTTGAATAGACGCAAACGCCTTAGACATGCTATCCATTTTCCTTACCGTTGGTGTTTGTATTCACTTAAATGGGGTGGTATTAAAAACGTAAGGCATTCCTAACTTTGATGAAGCGTACGCACCAATACCAACACTTGCAACATAAACCAATAAAATACTTGCGTATAAAGCTATCTGATAATATTTGGTGTACCTACGTTCTTTATAATCTTTAGTACTGACATTGTTTTGTCAAAATACTACAAAACATGCTGATAAAACTCGGAATGGAGTTTGTTCTCCACTCATGATGGCTTCAAGGGGAATTCCATACCTTCTAAGCAAAAAGTACCCCTGTATGTAAGCAAACATATGAGCAAGCGTCACTTGAGCCAGAACCCCAACTATAAGGGCCACTATAAATGATCTGAAACTCATCAAATACTAGAGTTTAGGACTATAATCAGGCTGTTCTCCACAAAGCTCGAGAAAATAACCCCATGCAAATATTATGGTTATTAGGATAAATCTCGTTAAAGGATCTCGCCATTGCCAATTTGCAAGCGGCACATCCTGAAGACTTGATGACATTTTATAAACTATATTGGTTAATTGTTACTGCAAGATTCGAAAATTTTTATTTCTGACGATTTTATATACATGTATATATTTTTTTATTCATATGTATATAAGAAACGAATTTGTTCTCAAATAGAAATTAATAATAAGAAATAAAAAATAAACAAGAAAGAAATAGAGAACTCGAACAAAGGGTTTTAATTTGTGTTCATTTCGACTTATTTTGTGTCATCTAATTCACAAAGGAAAAATATCGACGACCCTAGCATTCATTATTTACAGCTAATTTCATAATTCATGGACCATTAATAATTTTTCAGTCGCATTCAGTCGCAATATTTTATAGTAATTTTATTATAAAATATTTTCAGTCGCATTCAGTCGCAATTTATTAGTGGTCCACGAATTATGAAATTAGCTGTAATGAAATTAACTTTTGTAAATATTGATACTTTTTTTTTTTTATCACGGTGATATTATTCACTTGTGGGACAATCCTTTTTTTATAAGGTTTCCTTTCGGCGTTTCGTTTCCATATTTTTTCTTTTTTCTTTTTATCATTCATTTTAAACTTTTTTTTTTAAAAAAAAAATTTACCTTAAAAAAAATAACAAACTTATTTTCAAGTTTAATTTTTTCAATTTGGCTAATTGTTTTTAATCAAATTCTTTTTGCAAATTGTCTAAGCTTTTTCGGTGGAACTGGATTTAAATCGCTTTTTATCGAAGATAAATTGTATTTTTTAGGCACACTTAAATTTGTTTATGTAGACTTAATAGGCGTATCATTAGACAGTAATACGATTGTTAATAAAACCAAATGGGTTGATCTCACCACAGTTAAACCTAAACCAAATAGACTTAGTCCCAATCGGGAGGGAAATCCAATGATTTAATAATGTTCTTTGAGACATCAGTGTATAATACGTTCGTTGATATATTTGACACTCAATTAAATCGATGGGAAATAAACGTAAATGTCGAAAAACCTCTCATAAAATAATTTTCTGATTATAAAGGTTGGGTATCAGATGAAAAAACTGGTAAAGCCTACACATTTTCAAGTAATTATGGCGTAGTAATATTTGATACAATTAATTTGAAATGGATAAATAGTACTTTAAATCAACAAGAATTTCTTACAAATAAATTTACTTTGTCCACTGATTTTGCCCAAGTTATGTTGCCAAATGGTAAAATTCTTTATGTTGGTGGAACAGTTGACGAAGTAAAACAATCAATGAGTAAGATATTAACTTATGATAGCGTAACTGATACATGGACAGTGACGGTACGAGAAATCTTTTTGATTTACTGAACATTTCAATTGAAATTGTTTTTTCATAATTAAAATATATATATATATATATAGAATACGGCAGGTAACTCACCCGAAGGACGTATCAAGCACACAGCTGTTTCAAGTAAGCACCATATCAATCAATTTCAAGAAAGAAAAAAAAACTTTATGTAATTATAAAGATTAAAAAAATTAAATTTTTAGCTTCAGATGGACGTGTCATATTATACGGTGGAATATCGAATTCGATACCAGCCTTACCACAATTGGCAACCTTGGATACCTCAAAAACACCATATGAGTGGTCAACACCTACAGAAGAGAATCAAATTGGATCTTTTAGCGAACATACAGCGATCATGGTTAACAATTATATGATTTTCGCATTTGGTAAATATAACTGAACTGATTTATTTAAATGCCATATAAATTGATCAATTCAATTTTTTAATAATGGTTTGTCATTTTTAAAGGTAATAATGAATCAGAAAAAACCGCTTCCAAAGTTAATATAATAAGGATATCTATAAATTAGATGTATCAGATCCATTAAATTATAAATGGTCGTTATTGTCTAACTTTGAAGGATCAAAAATAAAACCAACAACAACGTTTGATAACACATCTACGCCCATTCAAACGGATGTATCAGTTGGTGGAAGTTCGATCTTTAAGAATATTGGATTGAAAGCACGTTGAGTTGTTATGTTCGCAGTTATAATAGTAGGATTTATTTGTATATCAATATTTACTGTTTATAAAATAAAGGAATATAAAGGGAAAAACATGAAGAATTATCAACAAAAGATATCAAACAACGAAGAATTATTAGTTTAAAGATATATAATTTTTTTGTTTTTATTACTTTTAAATTATCACATTTAATTATCACGTTTAATAATGATTATATTATCATTTACATTATCTGGTACATACAACAAATAAATAAATTAAATTTATCAAACGATCGAGATTATACGTACATTTGTATGACTACAAAATCTAGAGCACATTTTAATTTATCTATAATGTGTGACAGGCTTCCGAAGGACGTTATTTTCGGGAATTGCGTTCGGTACCCAGCGACAATCAAATTATTTAGCGCCAATCAAATATAATACGTTATCAATTTTTTTTCTCACGTTGTTACTTCTGTTTAATTAAATTCATGTTCAATTTGCCTTATTTGAAAAAAACTTATGGTAAAGGTTGCTTATGTCCACCTAAAGAAATTTATTAGAAAAAAAATGAAAGTTGGTACTGTAAAACAAAAAATTAAATTAGATTCGGATTTGTTTCCTGGTTTCAAAATAATATTTTTCCGCAACTTTCAAATACCTCCTTTCTCAACCTGATGCTAACGTATGTAAAAAATGTGTTAACAAATATGTATCTACTAAAGGTATTTAAAATATATTTCTTTATTATAAAAATATTATTTAATTTATTATAAAAGATTCAGTCAAAAGTGATCAGAATCATATAAACGAGTTAAAAATTTGATTTTAACTCGATTATTTGAGTTAACGATAATAAAATTTATTAAAAATTCTTTATAAATCACTACTTTTATAAATCAAGAAATAAAAAATAATTTATTCATTATTAAACATTTGGAAATATTGTATCTAATAAATCATAATTCTGGATCAAGATTCGTGCGCTTTATTGTAATTACATCTGAAAATAAACGTTCAAAAACTTAAATATTTTCGCGCAATTTTTGATAAAATTTGAAACTGGCTTTGTTTATTATTCCATTGAAATGGATTTGATCACCTTCTAAAATGCTAAATTAAGGCAGGCTATGGAAGAATATGCTGAGAATATTAAATGTGATGTTGAGAATGCTAAATTTAAAGCTAGAGTTGCGAAATTGAAGCAGGATATCAATGAACTTTAAAAAAAAAGATTCAGGATCTTAGAAAAATCACAAATTCCAGACTAAAAACATCCAGATAACTAAAGAAATACTTAATGAAGAACCTAAGTAGAATATCACCTTCCTTTCTTGAATGGATTAGAGCTTGATAGCACTCGAAGACATTGTTAATTGTGATCGGCAAAAAGATGCATATGGAACCTTCCTTCTTGAAATATGGATGATGAGTTTATCAATAAGATGGGATCTTAATCTTTTATAATTAATAACTTTATAATGTGTATAATTCAATTATTAGAATTGTAGTTGCTTTCTACTATACAACTACTATATTTTTCACACCCACTTATAGAAGTAGAGGCGTAAATGGAATGTCGTCAATCAGTCATAAAGCATTTGTTCGTTTACCCACATTTTGGGCTTCACGTTCTATATAAAATGACGTAAAATATTTCATTGTGTAACTTATGAATAATCAATCTGAGAGATTGTTATACTATTTCTATTTCACAAATAACTATGAAAGTTAGTCGTTAAGAAATAGACGTTCTTGAATATATGAAGTCCAAGCTGGATCTATACGATATAAAACTAATTGAGAAAAATAAGGTCGCTGGTTAAGTCTTCATTAATTTGACAGAAGAAAAGCTTATGGCAATCTTCTCGGCGGATCTTGTCCTTGCAATGTTTTCACGTGAAAGGTTTATTGTTTCCAGAAAAGGAAATTATATTTTGGTATAAATAAGCGGTAAAATTAGCCGGAACAATAGCCTTTTTGATCAAGTCACTTAAAGATGAAGTGCACGGCCTCATCCCTAATCTCCTAAACCTTATTTTTCTCGCTGTCTTAACTTGTCTTACAGCATCTTACATATCTCTAGCATCGGAATCTATCAATGAATTAGAAAAGTCATAAAAAAGTTTCCAAAAAAAAAAAATGACTTACAAATCGACGAAGCTATCAAAAAGACTTGTATTAACGAGCCCTCTTGTAATCTTATCTCGGCTTCTGAAGAAATCACGGTTGGCGCTTACTTGCCCGAAACAGATGATTTACAAAACACCTAAGCTACCGAAAAGAAGTGTACTAACGAACTCCCTCCTTATTCAATTTCGACTTCTAATTTTCTACTAGAGACTGATTCTCAGCTTTTTAAAAAATTTACAATTTGTTATTCATTACTATAAGTCTATGATTGTTTTGCTTATGACTTCCTCACAGGGAATGGCCTAGTCTCTGTGAATTTTCAGATCATCTATACAAAGTCCATAACATTTCGGAATTTACGAAAGTTATTTGCGAAGCAACACCCCGCTCAAAGTTGGCTTTCAGAATTGGCTAATCAATTGAAGGTAATGTTACTTCATCGACTATGAGTAATAACAGTCTGAACCGATTTTCCATAATGCGATCTATCAACTAAAAAGTGTGTATATTATATCAAGATTTAATAAAAAATTGATTTTTATTACAGCTAATTTCATAATTCATAGGCCACTAATAAATTGCGATTAAATGTGACTGAAAATATTTATAATAAAATTATTATATTAATAGTTCATGAATTATGAAATTAGCTTTAACAAAAAAAAATATAAAAAAATGTAGTGATCTGATAAAATTACAGATCATTGCAGATTTTTAGACAAAAAAATTTTTAATAATATATTTGTTTTTATTTAAAATTTATTTAAGAAATTATAATTAGTATAATATAGTATAAGACATAATATCAAATTCTAAATAGAGAATATAAAGAAAAAAATGTTAATGTTTAACATTAATTTCTTTATTATATTTTAGATTATTATTAATATTAAAATTATTGATAATTTTGAGATTAGTATATTCTTAATTTTTACATCAATAAAATAATTAACTTATTTATAATAATTTATACAGAATCCATATGAAATCCTACCACTTAAAATCCTGATAATATATTATCCTAACCATTTAAATCTCAAAATATCAATATCCTAAATTATCATAATTCTGAATCTATTAATTCTGACTAAATCGTAATACTGAAATATTAAAATTTCAATATTTCATAATCTTAAATGATAAAATTATGAAATAAAAAATCCTGTAAATTTAATTTAACTAACATATTTATTTATTTCTAATTATTTATGATAATAATATTAATCTATTTAGTTTTATAAAATATACAATATAAATTTGAAGAAAGAAATAGTTAAGTTATTAATTTGAGAATAAATAGTATTAAAAAAAAATATATAATAATGATCCAAATGCTTTAAAATAAAATAGAATTTGATTTTTAAAATTATCAAAAAAAAAATATCCTAATATATGTCTTATTTTTTAAATTTAAATTATAGATTTCAGGATTTCTGAATTTAGGATTATGTATTTTTTTTTTATTGGAATTTTGTCATTCAGGATTATAAAAATTTAGGATTATGATAATTTAGAATTATTTAATATAGGATTTAGATTATCAGAATAATATATTATCAGAATTTAAAATATTGAAATTTCATATCAATCTTATGTACTGTTATTTCTAATAATACAAACTACTAACTTTATTAATAAAATATAAAAATAATAAATATATTTAATAAAATAAAAATATAAAATATAAAAAAATAATAATTATATGATATAATAAATAAAAAAAAAATTAAATAATAAAAATATTAAAAATTAAAAGAATTAGACTTATTAAACTGATTTGCAAAATTATAAAAATAATAAAAAAAAAAAGTCAACATGTAGATCTTTTAATTTTATAAATTAAATCCAAAAACTTTTATAAACAATCTTTTATTACTAAATTTTTAGTTAATAAAAAACTTTATTATTTTATTATTGTTCGAAGCAAAGTGGAGGACATTTTACTTCTAGATCATTTAAATGTAAGGTCATTTTGTCCGTCCAATTTGGCAAATCTGATAGATCAATGACATTTTGTTTACGTTATCACGTGTTATGTCTTTTGTGTTACAAAATAATTAATCATGTGAAATATGATATTATAATTTATATACTATGCTTCGAACTTTGAATGGATCTCATTTCCTAGTTTTATAAACTATTAAAAAAATTAGATTTTAAATAGACTTTCTTAATAAAATAATAAAAATAATGTTATTATTTAAAACTAAAATTTTATATTAAACTAATTTAGTTAATTTAGTTAATAATAGAAACTATTAAAACTAGTTTATTTGAATTTAATTTTTAGTAATTTAAAATAATATTCTTAAATAAAAATAATATAAATATATAGTATGATAAATCAGATAATTTATATTAAAAAAACATATAAATTTGATATTAACTATAAATTTTTTTAATAAAAATATGAAAAATAAATAAAGTATTAATTAGATTATTTTATTTAATAATGATAAATAATATAACTATTTTGAATGAAATAAAGGATTATATACTAATAACTACTTTAATAATCAATGTCTTATTGTCTGTCTATTTAAAATTCAAGTCAATACATGATTAGTCTTTTTCATTATACTTGTGTTTAAGACTTAATAACAATCTCTATTTTTTAGTATTTAATACTTAATATAAACTAATTTATTTTATTTTTTTATTTAAATATTTAAATTTTAAACTTTAGAATTTTTAAATTATAAATATTAATTATATTATAAAATATAAATCTTAAAATCAAAAAACACATTTAAAATAATCTTATATAATGACTTCCAAAAGAAACACAAGTAGAGTAAAAGTTTATAACTTACCTAGAGCTCCAAATCAGGTCAGGTCAACCTGTGACCTGACCTGATCCGACCTGAAAAATCCAGATCAGGTAGACAAATTTTCAGGTTAACATCAGGTCAGGTCAAGCTTATAATTCAACCTGATAAAATTCAGGTCAACCAATCAAATTAAATGAAATAAAATATTTAAAAAAAATTTTTTTTTGTCTATTTTTTTTTTAAAACATCTTTAATATACTTTCTTTATATATTCTAATAAAGTTGTTTGTATAATTACTTTGTAATTTTTTATAATCAAAAAGTTAAATTTTAAATTATAAACATTTTTGCAATTACATTGTTCAAATATTATATTTTAATTTTTTTTATTTGTTCAATTAATTCAAAGAGATATTTGAGCAATTTGGTCAAAGAAAATCAACTTTGATCGCATAAGTAAAGTTGTTCAGCGGGTTCGATAATATATGCATATAAAGGTTTATTATGATTGGATTAATAGTTGTAAAGTTATGTATGTTCATATTTATATTATCTCACAAATTTTTTATTTTTATTTTTTATCTGTACAGTAACTTTAAAGAGCAATTTAAGTATTATGGTCAAAGGAAATTAACTTTGGTCGCATAAGTGAAGTTATTTAACAGGTTCGAAAATATGTGTATATAAAATCTTATTATTATTAGATTAATAGTTATAAAGTTATGCACGTTTTTTATAATTGTATTATCTTACAGATTTTTTTATTTTATTTTTATCTGTACAGTGACTTCAAAGAGTAATTTAAGTATTTTGGTCAAAGGAAATCAACTTTGGTCGCATATGTAAAGTTATTCAGCAGATTCAAAAATATGTGCATATAAAATCTTATTATGATTGGATTAATGGTTATAAAGTTATGCATATTTTTCGTAATTGTATTATCTCACGAATTTTTTTATTTTTATTTTTTATCTGTACAGTGATATCAATGAGATATTTGAGCACTTTGCACAAAGGAAATCGACTTTAGTTGCATAAATATAGTTGTTTGACAGATTCGATACATATAAAATTTTATTATTATTGGATTAATAGTTGTAAAGTTATGAACATTTTTTGTAATTGTATTAGCAGTCACCAGATTTGCAGATTTATCGCAACTTGAAATTTTAAATTCTGCAGTTAAAATAATTATATTTGTATCTTTTTTTTTTTGAAAAATAATCAAATGTAAAAATGTATCAATATTTTTTTATATTTTTTTTTAAAAAAATATTAATCAAAATTAATAATTGTTTTGGTTTTCTTTTTTAGACAGGTCAGGTCAGGTCAAATGTATATTTAATTTAGATCAATTTTATGTCTGACATTATCAGGTTAGGTCAAGTCAATTACCCAACCTGATCTGACCTGTTCAGAGCTCTATTCTATTAGATAAATATTTTATTTTTCATATAAATATTTAATTTTAACTTTATTTTTGTAATAAGTAATTAAGCGAATGAATTCTAATCAACTTGATCTATTCAGATACAAATGAGAACGGAAACAAGATAAAAAATAAAAAATGTGAGAAGAAAGTAAAAACAACATGATGAGCTAAAAGAATGAAGAAAGCAGACTTGATACAATCACTAAAAATATGAATGTATCCCAGTTCCTCTTAGAAGACCTTGTTTCAACAATAAATGGGTTGTGTTAGATTAATTTACAATATGATAGTGGTCAATTACCATTTGGTTTATAGGACTACTGTACAAAGCAATTTTTCTTTAAGATGCTTTTTCAGCTAAAAATTAAATATACAAAGGAATGGATTTTTATGGATAAGGTTCCATATGATGTATAGGATCATACTATCTCAGACATTATATAAACAAGAGATGAAGTTATCACAAGGAATAAGAAGAATCAACATCAACATCATATTCTTTATTTTAGATCTAAGAAAAAAGGTTGTTAGATAATTACCATCTGTGTTCAATACTATCACAAATCACTCCATTTTTATATCAGGCTCCTACATATAGTCAGAACTCGATATAACGATTCTCGATATAACGATCACTTAATAAAATCTTGTTAAAACGATTTTTTTAAAAAATTTGACTTTATATTTGAACATATAAAAATCGTTATATAGAACTTATAAATTTTGATAAACCGATTTTTTTTAAAAAATTTCATAGTAAATCAGAAGGTTCGTTATATCGAGCTCTGACTGTAATAAAAAGCTTCTTACTGTTGATTCTAATCATCCACGTCACAAAATGAAGCTACCATTTCATCATGAATATCAAAAACGCAATCATGGTTGGCCGAATGAAATTGGCAAAGTTAAAATAGACTTGAAGCTAATATACAAGAGGAAACTAGGATATTGGAAGTCTATCTACAAGAACCAAGTGGAAAAAATTCATGTTGCAGCCATCGATCCTAGAGTTCTCTCACAGTTGATCATGGAAACATTGGAGACAATGATATTAATCGCGTTTTTCGTTTATGTCTTGCTCTTGATACCTTTGTTTCATGCACCACCAGAGCATTAGCAAAAAGCGTAACTCTATTAAGCACAAGCACGCATGAGAAGACATTCAAAATTTAGTGGATGAAGTACATAAAAAAAACTGTATTGTGGTTGACTAAGACTTTGACATAATTGTGTTACCAAAATTTAATAGCATGCATATGCCTCATAGATAAAAAAGAAAATTTAATAGTAAAACAGTTCGAAAAATGATGAGCTGGGTGCATGCTAGGTTTAGGAATAGATTGTTATCTAAAGCAGAAGAATTTGGTAAAATCGTATTAACATCCGTGTCTGAAGCATAACAAGTAAAACATGCAGTCACTGCGGATATATTAAGAGGAATTTGGGTGGAAGTAAAGTATTTAGGTGTGATGGGTGTGTACTTCAGATTAATAGAGATCTAAATGGCGCCCGGGGAATTTTTCTCCGGGCATTGCTTGATGGAGCCTTAGTTATGTAACATAATTATGCCAATTAAGTTGACTATTTTTAGCTATAGTTGATCGATTCAATCCATCCGGAATGTGCCATTAAATTAGATTATTAAATTTAGATCTAATAACTTGTTAATGACTTGATAGTTTGGTATAGTCTCGTGTTAGCTTAAATAATCCCAGATTTTTGAATCGGGTAACTAACTTTTTTTTTTTGGATGCGAATTGTCAATGGCTTTAATGGCTTTATAATAGATAAAAATACAAAAAGTATTTAAAAAGTAAATATCGAATTACGATACCAGCGCATGATCGTCACAAGATAAATATAGGAATACATAGCCGTTTTTGGTTAATCAAGAACGAGATCAGTTTAAAAAGCTTGGAGTTCGAGGAAAAAAAATCGTCACCTACATTCTCGCATGGTCCTCTAATAATCAGTTGCCAAAAGATTGGATGCTTTTCTTAGTGATAGTAGCAAAGGGTTATATTTTATCTGGTTATTTGGTTGAAAACCCAAGAAATATGGATGTATTCACGTAGCTGTTTTTCTTTTCTTTTCTTTTATATGTATTTTGTTTCGCCCGTATTTATTGTATTTCAGCGTAGTTTTTTTTTATTAAAAAAAAGTTCAATATACATCGTTTTTTTATGTCCTTTTAAAATTTCGTAGTAAGAGTGAAGAGACGGAACTTTTTAGGTCCGACTTGCTTTCTTACGTATGTTGATTAATGAGTAATTTCACCAAAATTTGCGAGTCGAATAGGGGCAAATCGTTTTTTTTTTTTTTTAAAAAAAAAAAATGGTTTGTCTTTTTCAACATACTTTTCCTTAATCCCCTTTAAATTTCGATATAATTTGATTATTGACCAACCAAGAGAATGATATAAAACGATTAATCATTGCTTAGTCACGTAGAACAGTTTATTTGTTCATTGACGTACGACTGTAATTATTAATCTACATTTCAAATCAAATATTACATTGTGCTTTGGAGATGCAAAGAAGGCTAATATAATATTCTTTTTATAAATTGTATTTAATCTAATAATAAAAAAAAAATTTGATCGTTGAAAAGAAAATTTTATGTCTTCAGACATTACCAACATTAAGATTTCAGTGGTAGGTTTCAAATTGCGATGGTGATACTTGTTTTAAGTGAAATGTTTATATAAAATCAATTTATTCAATTGGTATATTTTTTTGTCCACCAGGTCCATTCAATATCAAAAAGCACGCTTGTATAAAGCACTAATATGACCACTTTATGAACATTAGGATTACCACGAATTGTCTAAAAATACTCTCGATGTAACAGACTCTTGATACAGCAGATTTTTTGACTAATGTAACGGACAAATACGATATGTATATGGAAGTTGATATTGGAAAGGATGGAATTTTGGTTAACTTATCTTATATATAAGGAGTAGATAGTGTTTTAAAGACAAATTAGAATGTACTGTATCAAGGGAATAATAATTATTGGCGTGATCAATCAGACAAGCTTTGAACTCCGTGAATTTTTTTTCGGGTGATAATTCCGCAATCCGTCACCCATTAATTTTGGCCAAATTCCATAATACCGGTCAAAATTACGATGGGTGACACCTTCTGATAATCGGATTTTGATTCGATCATGCACATTTCTATATACAGTATATGTATTTTCGTGAATTGATATGATACCAGACATGAATTATCGTTATTGGCTGATAAATATGGTCTTAACATCTTTATTCCGTGAAGTAACCAAAGTTAAATTTATAAACAACTTTGTGTGAGCGACATTACATACAATTGTAATATGGAAATAATTTTTTTTTTTTGAAATGTTTATCAAAGTCTATAATAAAAGTAAACTCGTTCGTCAAAAAATGATTGGAAAATTTAAAATATTTAACGATATAAAAATACGAATTGTCATATGTTGATTTTTGCCAAATTGTTTGATTTTAAAGAATTTCTCTCGAACGAGAAATTATGAAAATGATATTAATCCGATGATTAAATTTATTTGATGGTATTTACTATGCATAATTCTAATTAATCTAATCTATATAGTTCATTGTTTATCTTATTTTGTAACCTTAAGAGAGACTTATTTTGTTGATTATCCCATTTCCCTTCTGTATTTTAAATTAAGAAAGAAGGATTGTACTTCAATTCTTTGTATGCCTCATCAGAAATATTTTGACATATTTGTTTGGTATATACACTTTCGTTTCGCCATGCACTATTAATTACTGATCTTAGTATATGTTTTTGTTGCGGGTGCTGTGGTAACGATATATCATGCATTTGCATCGTCTTTGTGAAAATATGTGAATACACCCGAAACGCATTAGGCTTTTTTTCCACTTTTTTAATTTTCTTTTCAGGGATGAAATTCCTTGGCGTTACAGAAAATGGGAAACCAGAATTGAGGTGATATCGTGTTAATTCTTGAACCTGATTTAGTTGATCGAGATTCATTATTATATTTGTTTTGTGTCAAAGAAGACTATTGAATAAAAAAAGGTTATTGGTAAATTTGTGATGTCTTGAAAAAAAAAAAATTCTTTTATTTTTTTAAAAAAAAATAAATAAATTTGGGAAAAGACAAATTTGTGGATGTGTAAAAAATAAGATGATGTCTTGTAAATAAAAATATAAAAATATTTATTATTTTTTTTTTTGGAGTTTTTTTAGAAGTATAAAAACTTAAAAAAAAATAATAATCGATTACAATGATTTAAATAGAAAAAAAAGGATCTGTCGGGATAATCCCGCGTAAGAATTCCCTCGCTTAAGTACATGTTTATTTACATTGATATATTAATTACTACGGTTGACTCATAATATATGCCAAGTACCTTTTGATTTTTATTTCTTATATTTCAAAATCCGACCAATTGAAAATATGAAATGCACTTTAAATTTATGTTTCATTCAAAAATAGTTTCACGAATTAATTTTTTGAATGAAAAAATATATCACTTATTTATTTAGAAGATTTTATTTGTAAAGGTGATGAAATCTTTCTCAAAACATTTATATATATATAAAAAGGGATAAAAGTGTCGATCATACAGTAATTAACTAACCAACCAAACTCCGAAGTGCTTCTGAAACCCGAAATAACTTTGCTTTATCAAATCGGTGGCGAACGAACTTTGACTCGATGGTCTAATTAAAATCACGTATTTTGCGTATTTAGTAACGACCTCATTCATACCGTTGGATTGAGTTGAATTATCAGGAATCAATTTCTTGAATGAATTATAAAAGAAAAAAATTAGGTTTGTCAATTGTTTTAATAATCTCAATAAAGCATTACCAAGCCTATCAAAATTACCTTTTATTATGCATATAATAAATACATTTCCTATATCTGAATATATACAATTCTTTTGGGGAATCTTTTTTTTATTTTTATAAGGCAAGTTTTGTCAATATACTTGTATCTAACACCCCTTACATGCATACTATTATTTCGGTAAATTTTGTTTGTTACTCATCTAAAAATAAACTTATGATTAATACCAATAGACGTCGATCGGTAATTTTTAGGACTATCAATGCTTGTGCTTTTATTTAAATCTATCATACATTTTTCCTTGTTAATTATAACACAATGTTACATTAGAACGAAAAATAATCTAGCACTGGTGCATAATGACTGTCGCTACATAATTCTTGAATAAATTTTAGTTTCGGCCCGAATTAGTATATTCGCTTAATATTTTTTAAATCAATTCTTATCCTTAAATTCGGTTTTGAATCTGAAATAAAAAATTTTAAAGGTCTTGTGGCTTTGGAATTCTATATTTAATTATAAAGATTCTGACCGTTACAATACATATATTTTTGTTTCCTTATTTATACATATCTATCCTTTTGCACCTGCTACTACGCCTTCATCCACTATCCGGTGATCTAATTTGCTATTTACTGAAATTTTCAACTTGAATCTATTAGTTGATGGATTTATGCGATTGAAATTATTTTAAATTATAACACGTTGTTATTATTTAATTATAAAGTTTCCTTTTGAGAAATTTCCAATTTGAATATGATTTGTGACTTCGGTTATTAATGATACATATGTTGCTAAAATTAGGATGAGATTTCAATTCAATTATATCCTTTCTTTTACAACTCATAATTTATTCGTTATATATACTTTAAGAAATTTTCCAATTGAATCTTTCATAATAATGATGATTCGTTACTTCGGTGATTATGCGTACAAAATAATTCAATTAAATTTCCATTTTAATCTTTATGCTGCTAATAAATTATGCTATTTGGTCTTTGATTACTTTCAAGATCATTGATTTTATAATTGGATATTACATTTAATCATTCGTTTATTAATTGTTTCAGGCTCCACTTTTATCACGAATAACCAACAATGATTCCGTAATTTCAAGTCCGACTGTACTTTTTTTTATCCGTCACGACTTTAATATTATTGTTACGCCAATTCTTTGTTGAAGTTAAAAAATTAGGCGCAGTAGTTTTTTGTGTACGTTGATCAATTTATCATATCTACAGTATGCTACATTACCAAAGCACATTTTTTTTTGTCAATAGCAAAGAATAAGTTCTTTTACAAAATTGTAAATTGCAAGAAAATATGAAAGGTCCAAAAAATACAAAAATTTGCGATAATCCATAAAAATCATGAAAATTCGAAAATTTTTTTTTTACATAATTAACGATCAACGAGAGCGATTGTATGTATCGCTTTTTTTTTTTTTTTTTTTTTTTTTTTAAATTCTTGATCTTTTTTTTTTAAAAAAAAATTAATATCATTACAAGCATCTTCAAGTCATTTAAGTAATTATAACATAATAAATAAAAATGTCAAAAGGCCATTTTTCTGATATATGGAACGATCAAAGGACTTGTAAAAATAAACAAGCTCGCGGATATTATGAAGCTGCTTGTAATTATTATTTTAATTTTTGAAAAAAACAGAATTACTCATAAAAAATCGATAAATTGCAAACATCTGTCAATGAATTTTTTTCTCCAATTATCAATCTTACAAAAGGAAAAATTAGTGAAATTAATAAAGTTTTAATCAATGCATTTGTAATGTATACAAACATTTTCTGTTCCTTTCTTTTTCAAATTGATTAATAGTTTACGATCTGCATATATATCTTAATAACATGCTTTTGAGTAAGCTGTTAATAGAAAATTTGATTGAAAACTCAAATGTCAGTCTGAACTTATAATAGATAAATTAATTAAATTACTATTTTGAAACATATTTTGATATACTATTTAAATATATTATATATTTTTTCATTAGGTTTAGTTGGTTGGTCTGATCAAAAAGAAATTTTCTTTGAAGTTTTTATGGTTATAAAACTATCAAAAACAATACTTTTATTAATTGAAGATACATCATATTTCTGATTTGATAGTATGAAAAGTTAGAATTACAAAATTTGCCACAATTGTATCAATTGTATCAGACAATAGACTAAATTTTGCTAGAACTAGAAAGATTATTAACAAGAAATATCTTGCAATTATAAATGTTAGATGTATTTTACACATTTTAATTTAATTAGTTGTGATTATACATGTCTTGGTAATTGTTTTACCAAAAACGTAATACAAAATTTGAAAGACGAAACGTAAATACGTAATTACGTCATCACGCGATTTATAATTTTACCAGAATTAAGAATTTAAGCTAAAATTAACGAATTTAATTTAACGCAAAAATTTAATATATAATTTTAATTTTTGATACTATGTAATATTGTAGAAATATACCAGAGCTACAACTTTACTTAGTGTCATAAACCTATTTGATTAATACAATCTTGTAATATTCTAAAGTTATTGATAATTTTACTAAAAAATTAATATAATAGCATAAATATCTTAATTAGTATGGTTTTATTTATTAATTAAAAATGTAGAAAATAAAAAATACGTAAATTTTATTAATAATATATATTAAAATACTTATTCCAATATTTTTTTGATGTGACTTTGCCAACTATTTTATTAAGATTTATAGATTTTTCAAAAAAACAAAAGAAATTACATGAGATAAAATAAAACAAAATAAAAACTATCTAATAATCTAGAATATGTAATCATACCTATCCATCTAGGTCAACCTAATATTATCAAATCCCTTCTTTAAACCAAAAGAACTAGTCCAGTAACCACTAAACTACAACAAAAATAAGGGTGCTAAAGCAAAAATCTAATTAGTGTACATAAAATTCTTTTACCTACTCGCAAATCAATTCTAGCTATATAAATCAATTATTGAATTTAAACCTCCTTTGCGATTTGGCTCAAATATAGCTATTAAAGATATTAGTATCAAACTTGACTAGGAATTAGTTTTCAGATATCAAGAATTATACTATTTGATATAGCTATTCTAGCTTGATTTTAACCCCAAATAATATATCAAAAAATTATACTATCTATTTGCCATTGAGAGTAGGCAAAAATATTAAGGAATGAAGTGACAAAGAATTTGAGTCTATGATCCTTGCAAACCCAAAATATATAATAACTATTATACTATACTGCTTGCCATTAGGAGTAAACAAGTATATTGAGAAATGAAGTGATGAAATATTTGAATCTATGATCATTACAAGTCTAAAGTATATATCATATTTCATGATATTTTAGAATTAATTATAAAAACAATTCATTTTTATCTAACAAAATCATAATTTTGATACCTATATTGAGGTGAGTATCAAAATTATGTATATATACAATAAAGTTTAAAAGCTATAAACTACACTTCCTGGCCAAAAGTTTAGGACCACCTGGTAAATTAAAAAAAATATAATTTTTTATTAACCGATGTTTTATTAGACTATAAAAAAATATATATATGATAAGTTTAATGAATAGATAGTAAATTTTCAATATTAATCAAGCATATTTTAATAAATTATTGAAAACTTAATATATACTGTTTTTTTAATCACTTTTTTAATAAAGTAAATTGAAATTAATTAATCCATCAAAAAAATTTTATTATAATTATATTACAAAATACTTTATTTATTAAAAGCTTTTATTATGCACGGCATAATAAAAAAAATCTAACTCAAAAGTCTTACAAATTAAAAAAATTATAAAATCACTAAAGATTTTAATAAAAAACCCATCATTTTTTGTTAAAAAAATTTTTTTTAACAAAATAATCCATTATTTTTACTTTAAAAAATTAATAAAAATAATTATCAATACTTAATAAGATAACCACAGGCTTTTATCACTTCTTGAATTCAAGATTCCATGCTTTTAACAAGTTTTTAATAAACTTCACATTGAATTTGTGACCAACATTCTTGAATAAACATTTCCAATTCTCCTAAATTTCTTGAAAGATTTTTTATTGCTCAGATACGACATTCAAGCTCATCCCATAGGTATTCGATAGGATTAAGATCTGAACTTTGTCCTGGCTATGGCAATAGAATTATTTC